ATGTCATTAGTGTCCCTTGCCCTATTCTAGAGTGATTAGATCTAATCACATGGGATCCAAACATGATTGAATTAAGGTGCTGTAGAAGTAATTGAAACAATTGTGATTCAAGGTCCAGTGACTTCAGTAGAAACTAAGAACAATTACAAAATGGAAAATAACACATACTAAACAAAAGAGAAATATAACATAATGAAATCAAAATGTTTTCATGTGGGGTGCTCTTCCTTTTTTGTTCAGTCTGCCAGGCAGACAGAACCTTAACCACATTTCTTGTCCTATCTGAATTTCTTAATTTTCCTCTCCAGAAGTTTTCCATAGCCACTGAATGTATACTATATTTAGTGTTTTTTGTTTAAAAATGTTTGTACTTCTGCAACTCTCAAAGTTGTTGTGTGTGTGGCTGATCCTGTTTTTGACAATATATCCAAATTGACAATATCAATAGCAATGAGACAAGAAAACCAGAAAAATAGAGAACACTCAGTAGCTTTCATAACATGATTCCTTGTGATGTCTAGTATAATTAATATAACACCTCCCTGAGTGTTTTTCTTCACTATCTTAGAGTTTCTTCCACTGTATTCCCCACGCACCTTTCTTTGTCTTGCTACATCTGTGTTGAATCAATCTCAACCAAGGTAGATAAATACATGCCCAACATACTATTCCCTTTTGGGATAAGCAGTGTTATGCAGAACATTAGAAAAGGAGTAAAAATAGTAAACCAAAGATAATATCTGTATAGATAACTCAGCTGAAGCCTCTTTATTTAGCCTTCTTCACCCACTTCCAAAACAATGTTTTGATTTCCATGAAAATTACTCTGCCTTTTCTCTGCTTCCTTGAAACTTAAGCACACCATCCTCTCTTTGACTACATTTTTTGCAGCTATCTTTTTTTTCTGTATACACATTATATTATATAGTCATTTGCTCTCAGCCCTAATCAGTGGCAGGCTCAGTGACTAGCTGGCTGAACAACAAAATCCATACTGCACCATGCTTTGAGAGCTTTCTGTGTGAATTAAAGTGAATGCAGTGCAAAACAAGTGGAACCTGCTAGAGGATCCCAAATACTAAGAACAGCATCCTAATTTCTTTCTTTCATCCTCATTTTTTCAGCAAACATCCTCTTACAGGGATTTTTCTCATTCACAGACTCAGTCACTTCATCATTCCATCAAACATCCATTTCTATGTTGCCTGTTAGTGTAGCTCCATGCAATTCTGTGGCAATCTGTAACAATTCTTTTTACTCTGTTCCAAACAGCTTCTACATTCTCTTATCTCCACTTTCCATTAATTCTGATAGAAGATTGATCTATGGGTCCATTTTTTCCCAAGAACCCCTCTTGGCACTACCCAAAACAATAACCTGTTGCACACTCAGAATCTCTCATCATCCTTGTATCTCAGTCTTTCATCATAAAGCAATCATGCTTTTAGATTTGTATTGATTCCTTTGTCATGTATACTTTTGCTTAAACCACATACTGTATTTGAAACAAACAATTTTCTAAGTAGAGTCACTATTCTCATCAATTCTTGGTCTCCAAAATGGCTGAATCATGTTCCCCACCTTCCTAACAGAACAATTTCCCCCTTGGATTGCAATCGTTCAGAAGGTTGTACAGTTTCTCAGAAAACTCATCCCTGGTTGTTCTAATCCCACCATTAACTGGAACATAGCACATAACTATCATCAGCTGAGGATTCCCACATTCATCCACTTCCACAACCACCAAGGCATACTTTCTGACATATGTTAGCTCTGGAATCCTTGGGCTTCTCTGAGCTTGGTTGTTTTCTTGCAGACGTTTTGTTACCCAGCTAGGTAACATCTTCAGTGCTAGAAGGGAATG